AGAAAAATAGACAAGCGAGAGAAGAATTAGAGCAATCTCAAATTGTAACATTCTTCCTACTGAAACCCACCTTCCACATAGATTCAACACCTGTAGATCTGTCACAGATATTCACAAGACAAAGGTGTATGTTGAACTTCTACACTACATTATGCTTGTGACATTAATTCATATTTCATGATCTCTGTGTATTTGATCTTGTGGACAAGGAGGCCCGTGACAGAATTGAATGACAGGTCAATTGAGCAAATGAAAAAATAACTTGCAGATTCTAACTTGAATTTATTTTAGTTCAGTTTAAGTTGTTACCAACTGTCTGGCAGTATATTTGATACTATTGAAAATCTGTTAACCAAAATGGGAGGGTAAAGAAAGTCATGCTACCTCTTCAGGTAAATCGTTAAGCCAAATTGAGAGGACCAAACATGATTTCTTTATTTGCTTTCTTCAGAAGTACTATGGGCGTAAATCCCCAATTGGGAGAGATGTTTGCCGTCTACGAAAGGCCTATTACAATGCCCGGCATGAGGCATCAGCCCAAATCGATGAGATTGTGGGAGAGACAGCAAGTGAGGCAGACAGCAGTGAGACCTCAGTCTCTGAAAAGGAGAATGGGCATGAGAAGGACGACGATGTTATTCGCTGTATCTGTGGCCTCTACAAGGATGAAGGTCTCATGATCCAGTGTGACAAGTGCATGGTGAGGGTCAGGAAATGAAGCAGAAGCTTGGTCCTGATGAGCATGGTGACCATATTCAAAGAAGAAGCCGATGCCTCTTTTGGATTGGCTTGAAAGGCTTTTTATGAACTGTAACTTAGCCTTGGTTTCTGTTAGGTTTCTATGTTTACCATATTGCCTTTCTCCTCTTATCTCTCTTTCTTTCACTTTATCCCTTCTTTTTCTTTCCTTCTCTCCTCTCTTCTTGTTTTTTTGTTTTGTTTATAAGATAGGATCTTGCTGTGTCGCCCACACTGGAGTGCAGTGGCACGATCTCAGCTCACTGCACCTCTGCCTCCCAGGCTCAAGCAGTCCTCCCACCTCAGCCTCTCGAGTAGCTGGGATTACAGGCATGCGCCACCATGCCCAGCTAATTTTTTTTTGTAGAAATGGGGTTTCACCATGTTGCCCAGGCTGGTCTCGAACTGCTGAGCTCAAGTGATCTGCCCACCTCAGCCTCCCAAAGTGTTGGGATTATAGGCGTGAGCCACCACACCTGGCTCTTTCCTTTTTTCTGCCCACTTTTCACTGTACACTTCTCACATAATCTGGATCAAGGAGAATGACAGTATTTTATATAGTGCTTTGCCTTTTGAATCATTAGTGATAGTATACTCTATTAGTATGAATCCTCTGAGAGAGTGAAATATGTTAATACAGGTAGGGCTCCTGATGAAGGAGTCAAAGCCTGAATTTGAGCCCTAGTGTCCCCACTAATATATGTGAACACATAACTTTATGTGTAAAGTGGCTGTAAGTAACACATAGGATTGTTGGGAGGATAAAGTTAGACAGGGGTAAATAAAAACATTTTGTAGCTGTAAAGCCTTTCAGAATAGCCATAGCATTTACTTAAATTACTTAGTAATAGTTTAGTAGTCTATTCATTTGTTTTCCTATTCTCTCTCCATCTCCCCATTTTATTTGCCCGGATCTACAGATTATGAGTCAATCTGTATACTTTTGCTCAGAAAAGTCATTATTCTGTTTTCCTCCTATTTTATCATTTATCTCCAATATCTCATTCACCCAGTTATCACTTAGTTCCTCTTTTACTTTACCCTGACCTATTGCTAATTTTTTATTCTGGGCTCCCAGGACACTCTCAGTAAGTCATAGCCTCCATGTTCCCCCAAACTGTATGTTTTTCTGCAGGTATGGCAGCACTGTGATTGTATGGGAGTGAACTCAGATGTGGAGCACTACCTTTGTGAGCAGTGTGACCCAAGGCCTGTGGACAGGGTAAGCTGCCCCTCATAAAACTCTGATCTATAAGTAGGAGAGGTAGCACATGGTATCTTACCTGTCCTGCTCCTGCTTTGCAGAATTTCCTTTAATAAGTTGTTCAACCTCTCTGGGCCTTGGCTTCTTAAACTTTACAATAAGGGTCATAATTCTGTTCTTCCCTATTTCAGGAGTATGATCAAAGGGAAAATAAAATACTTAGAAATCTGTGGAAGGAATGGCACTACATAAAACTAAGGTTTTTGGCCGGGCACGGTCACTCATGCCTGTAATCCTAGCACATTGGGAGGCTAAGGTGGATGGATTGCCTGAGCTCAGGAGTTCAAGACCAGCCTGGGCAACACGGTGAAACCCTGTCTCTACTAAAATACAAAAAAAAAATTAGCCAGGCGTGGTGGCATGCGCCTGTAGTCTCAGGTACTTGGGCGACTGAGGCAAAAGAATTGCTAGAAACCTGGAGGCAGGTGTTGCAGTGAGTCGAGATCACGCCAGTGCACTCCAGCCTGGGCGACAGAGCAAGACTCCATCTCTTAAAAAAAAAAAAAAAAAAAAAACACCGCCGGGCGGGGTGGATCATGAGGGGTCACGGAGTTCGGACACGACGAGCAGCCTTGGCCAACGATGGTGAAACTCTCACCTAAGAACTAAGCATTCACACAACTTCACATGCTGGGCATGGTGCGGCAGTGTGTGTTAAATCCCAGCTACTCAGGAGCGTCTGAAAGGCACGCACGACACACTCGCACTTGAACCTCGGGAGGATGGGGTTTACAGATGGGGAGCGAGTACACCACTGGGGTCTAGCCTAGGCAACAGAGCAAGA